TGGACGAAATTCGAAACATTTCATAAATTTAAATTTCTCGCTCAGAAATAAAATTAATTCCGGACCTCCTTGCGGAATTTCCGCACTTTTTTAGTAGTTCCGGACCACCCATAGAAAATCAGTACTATTTCCGGAAATTCCGGACTTGTAGACACCCAAAAAAAAAAAAAAAAAAAAAAAAAAAAAAAAAAAAAAAAAAAAAAAAAAAAAAAATACGGCAAAAATGGACATTTGTCAATCAAAGGAGTTTGAAAAATCAGTCATCTTCGTCAATTCCATAGCCATTTTAAGCTTAAGTAATGACAAAATCTGCAAGAGGAGGTCGTAAACAGTTAAAAGAGACTGTGCCTTGTGAAATTTATTCTCTCAGTACGAGTAACACCATCGTTACAGTTCTCGAGCCATCCCGACTGACAAGTTATTTCATCTCTAAGACTATGTCTCAAATTGATAATCATCTTTCGATTAGAAGTAGCATTCATAAACCGGATACTTGTTGGGTAAGTCCGAAGCTGCTGATTGTGAGTTTCACTGACGATTCAAAAATAACAATTTTCACATAAACTAATTTAATAGTTGAAAAACAGAGATGTCAAGTTTCATTTTTGGAAACATCAAGACATTGATCGAAATATTTGAAGTTCATTGGAATAATCTTAAAGTGCTCGTTTGAAAAGAAGAGGAAAAAAATTCATGGCCAGAAGTAATTTTAGACCTCACATTGCAAGCTTACCTATTTTTTTTAGGCTTTAGAAGCTCCTAAAATTATATATCTTTAAACGGGTTTCCCGTCGAGGTGGAAAAAATGTCACTTTAATATTTTGGCGCACGGAAACCTTCAAGCATGATACGTGAAATTACACAGTAAAATAGATTCGAAACTCAAAATCGAGTTCCTGCTCATGATGAAAATGAAAATTTCGCCAAACTTTACAAGTTATGTGATAGAGGATGGACGGAGGCGCAGGGTGTGGGGCTTTCGGGAAAGAAGCGGTTATTCATGCGAGACGGGGGCCTGGCTATTGCTGCGACGCTTCACAGTTTAACGGGTGAAATTTCTGGTATTTCTTCCGACTCGCCTTTTTCGCCAAAACCAAGCTTTGAAAACGCCGGTAACCGATCGGCGAATCGGTGGAATTTCCCGAAGAGAATGTTGATTGATCACCGACTCATACCGACGGGAGCTCCCGAGGGGGCGGTTGAAGGCAGGGGGGAGGGCGGGGGGCGTGGCTGATTTAGGGTTTCGAGACGCGCGGCAGGAACTGGATGAACGGACGGGAGAGAGAAGGAAGGAGCCGAAAGGAGTGGGTAATTGTGCTCATCAACAATTCACGTTATTAAGCGTTATCGGGTTTTTGCAAGGAGACGAGTTATTGTGCGCCAAATGCGGCAGAAGCTCCGGGGATGATGACGGGTCGTGCGGGGGCGGGGGTGGGGGTGCGCGGCGGGAGGGCGGGCGGCGGTCGATCTCCGGGCGAGATGAGATGCCGCCGCACGCGATATTGAACTTGGATGCTGGGCGGAGGGGTTGGGGCTCGGAAAAGCCGGGAGGGTGGGAATCGGGCGGAAAGGGGTGGAGAGGGCCAGGGCCGGGGAGGATCCCTCCATTTTTGCGGCGAGAGCGCAAGCTCGTCGGGGGTGGGTGGCTCGGCGCTTTGATTCGCCCCGCGCTAGGCGTTCGATATTCCCCAAGCCCGGCCTACCCCCGCCTACCCGCCCAGGCGCCGACTCCCGAGCTTTCCCTCCCTCCGCATTCCGGACCCGCCAAAGAGGAAACTCGACTCGAGTTTCCCGCTTCTCCTGTCCATCCTCCTTCTTCCGCGGACCCCGTCTCCTGGAGCTCCATCAACGGGCTGCTCGTTGGAATCGATAGACAAAGCTATAGACAAGCAACACTATGAGAAAAGGCTACGCTCCTATTCGTTAAAACGGGTGGTTATTACAGACTACTGGATTCAGCAAATGAAATTCCCTGACACATCAGAATATAATTCTCTGACAATTGAATCGTGTTGTGTGAAGACCGCTAATGTCCATTTCTACAGCTTTCAGTTTTTCAAGTTGATGTCATCTTCAAGAGTTGATACAATCATGAAAGTGGTGCCAATACTTGAAGGGATAAGGATGACCCTAAATCGAGTATCAACACCACTATCATGGTCGCATGTAACTCTAAAAAGTATTATTAACCCAAAAAACGCAAGACTTGAAAAATGGACATTAGCGGTTTTCGCACGGCACGATTCAATCGAAGATACGCCATACGGCGAAAAAGACATAGTTTGAAACAGTTTCCGGGCAAAATGTGTTGTTATAGACGTCAAGTCCATTTCAGAAAGGGTATAAAGGTAAATTAACAATTTTTCCCTGACACTTTCGACATTTTCCCTGAATTTTTAAAATTTCCAGACATTCCCCTGTTTTCCATGACTGCGGCAACCCTGAAGAGGGAAAATGACTGATTACCAGAGAGTCTCTTGTGGGTAGCCGTCAGCTAGTCTAATACTTATCTTTTTTGTCTGTAAAAACCACCGTCTTCCACCAATGGGATTGCTCCGTTTTCTCTTTATCTATCAATTTCAACGATCAGTCCGCTGTCTCAAAGAACGATCGCCATCGATGTGGCGCATCAACCACGGCAATATCACGACATAAATGAAGAGCATCTGTAAAATACTCTCGCTTAACGATGCTATTTCTAAACCGTCTCGAATCTTATATTTTGTGGGATCAAATTTTACAGGGGTCCTCCGTCAATTGTGAAAAATAATTGCCCTAAGTTTCCCACATTTTTCAGATCGAGTTGAAATGTTTCCTTGACTCTTCCCGCTATGGAATTACAACTTATTTACCCAAAATTGGACCCAGCCTGAATTATTTGGAATGTTCGCGAGGACCGAACGGTCTGTTGGTTCTGCACACTCGGTGAAACATAAGAAAATTACAAGTTTGGACAGTTGAGTCCTCGTATTTTTCGATTAAAGGTCAGTACAAAACACCCACGACTTGTCGACCCCCCCCCCCCCTTATAACTTTCAAGGTTTGCCAGCCGTTTCTCTCCCTTGATAGTGCTTGTTTTTCCAGACCGATAGGAGCTTTGTTACACGAAAACCCCATTCCCTCCGACTCTCCAACAAACTTTAGACACACAAATAATTTTAAATTTGAGTTAAGAGCCACTGATTTTCCAGAGTTGGGGGTAAAATAATCTGAAGTATTACCAGACTTATTCTGGTTTCTTTAAAAGAGTAACACAAAAAATGATGTATTATTTTTGAACCAAGCTGTCGGAGGACAACATCTGTCAGAGATGATTGCTACGGGTGGATGAGATCTATATTTTATGCCCGAAGCTCCACTATCACTCAAACCAGGGTTTCAACCACAGATTGGATTTAACGCGACGCGAAGTCAATTGGACAAATTTCTGCCAAACAGAACTATAAGCATTATAACGTGAGCCCTGTTATGCTTGTATTCTTATGGGTCTCAGGGCTAATGTCTTAATGCACATAGTTCCGTTTGATAGAAATACGTCCAATTAACTTAATGCAGCCTGAGGACTCAGCACTAATCGCTTTTAGAACGATTTGAACATCGTTAAAATTATTTGTACGCGCCGATGGATTCAACGCGATGAGTTAAGAGGAAAATCAGATAAAACTAGAGTAACTGCGAAAGCAATGAAAGAAAGAATTAGAGAAGAAAACTGTAACCACAGAATAAGGACACAAATTTCAATGAAGCCATACACCAGATATCCAAGTAATGTGGACAGGTAAAAAGTTACTTTCGGAGAGTCACGAATGAGGAACAACACTAATTCTCGTCAGATGACGAACATATGAGGCTTACATTATTAGAGCATATGGAAAGGTTACGGAGTTCGTGAGTTCTTCTGTCAAACATTGTCTTGTTTCTCGAATTAATCACGCGTGAGGTTCAGTTGATCATTTGTAAAGATGACTAATGTGCAAATACCCGAAAGTAACTTTCATAATATGGTAAGTTCTAACTGCGAAGTCTACTGTATTTTATGTCTGTTGTGAGCTTCGAAAATACGTGTAAATATTCGATCACAGTGGCGAAAACTAGCGCTTCTCGAAATCTCTATTTGAAGTGGTGAAAAATGAAAAGTCTTTTGAGACACATCATTCGGAAGAAACCGCACGACGGTGAATTATACCGAATTAAGTTCTAAATCGTTGTCTTTGGTAGAGAAACCTTAGAAATCGCCACGGAATTGTATCGAGTGACTTGCGTAGGGTAACTTTTAACAAGAGCCTCGAGTCACTGGCTAATTGTAAGCGGTTTCAGAGTAAAACGGTAGTGTTGATTAATTTTGATTTTTATGAAATAGTGATAATATCCATCACCGTAAGAACGAATGAGAAAGAGAAGCAATGTATATATTGTGAAAGCTCTCAACAGGGTTGCTACAAAGTTAGCGAGTTGGACACGTACATATTTCGTGAAACGCGATTTGTTACATTACATTATATTATGTTAATCTGTAAAGAATCAAAGGGATGTCTAATGAATATGAAATATCATAAGAAAAAGTCGAAAAAATCTAGATAATCGAATGATTATGCAGCAAGTCGTCTGAAGCTTCATTTTGGATTTTCCTGATATTTTAAATGGTGCTCCCTGTTTTTTATTGCGCGATTAAACACTGGCTCGATTTTGAAAACCAGCACGTATAATTTTGTATCTGCGTATAATGAATAGAATCAAATTAGTCATTTTTAGCTTCAAGCACTCGATACTTCCCGATTCATGACCCATTTTCCTGAGGTCATGGAATTTTCTGATATTTTCCGTTTCTCCGGTTTTTAATGAAGACGATACCCCGTTGTTTTTATGGGTGATCTTCATAGTTTTTCCCCTTCCTTCTCTCTTCGTTTCTTTTCGGTTATTCAAATTCCGTCGGTGTAGCAACCCTGATTGAAACAGCAGGCAAGCGCACCACCACCTTTGAATTTCGCGTGGCGGCTAACCTGAAGCGGCCACAAGGGCCCCGAATCGTTTCCACTCGCTGCTCGAAAGGCCGGATCCTCGCCAGTACTCACCCTTGGGGTCCAACTGGTATGGGGGAATCCCCATGTGCGCGGGGGGTGGTTGACCAAGGTGCTCCCCGTTCGGACAAAAAAATGGTAACCCTGTGCCCGGATGCGTGGCACCCAGCCCCATTTTGCTAGCCTGAAACAAACGGAAAAACAAGAGATTATTAATCAATCTGCTCAAAGAATACGAAAGTCACGTAGATCACCAGTTACGTGAAATTTCAGAAATTATGGTTAAGGCTTAGATTCCAAAGATCAAGGTTTCTTTCATTTTAGTGCGGGTTGCAAACCTAGCCCCTGAAATAAATGTTTCGAAAAAGTCATTAAGTTCATGAGTTTCACATGCACATGAAATTTCCGAAAATATATCACGAAAATTTCAAATGTTCCACATCCATTTGTTTTTTGCAACCTTGAAGATTTCAAGTCAACGTGAGATTGGCTCAAAAACTATGGAAATCACCCGATTATTCCTAGATGAAATGAAATGAGAAAAATTAGTTGTTTTTTCCTCTCGAAAATGACCACTATTACCACAAAAGAAATTGACTTTGCCACAGGAAGAAAACTTAATAAATAAAACAATTATTTTCGTGAAACTGTTTTATATTTTTCCGAGAGAGCAATGGACAAAAAAAAAGATAATTAAATATCTGTTCAAATATATGTTATATCAGATCGACGTTTACTAGATGCAGCCATTCTGATAATTATTCTGGGGAAACGTTCTGATGGATGAAAAGTTCGTAAGTTTAGGATCGAATGGTGAAAGACCGTGCAGCGTACACGATGAAGGTTTTGGGCTGCCCGGTGGAGAAGTTTCGGTAGGTTAATTAGATCAAAGGGCATTAAACACATACGCTTGAAAGGTACTTAAAGGCACGAAAATAATTGAATTATCACGCATCGTTTAGCCGACACGAACTGCCAAGTGTCACAAAGTGCGGTGTTTCAGACACGGCTACACCTTCCCGACTATTTTGAGAATAAATAATCATCCTTTCGATGCTACCAACGTATTCCTGACTTCTGTCCTCAACGAGTTATTAGAAGAATCAACGAGGGATTTCTACGGCTAAGAGCGACGATGATTCTCAGCACGGAATTTTTGGGCAAGAGAGTCACATGCGCGCGTTATAGAATCGTGTATCAATATGGTTAGATATACCGCAGATGGTAGATGGTTTACATAACCGCGGAAAATATTGATGAGAAATGTTCGCATACCAAGTTTCTATCAGGGTTACCGCAGAATGAAGAAATTGAAATTCCCTGATTTCCCTGTCACATTTTGGTCAAATACCCTGAAAATTGAGGATATGCTAGATGGTTAAAAAGACTAATTTCAAACATACAGTTTTCCCTCAAAATCTATTGTTTGAAACGACAAACCTAGTCTAGAAAGCAAATAAAGGTGACTTGACATTTCAACATTGTCGTCATTTTCCCTGACAATGCTAATCTTCCCTGGCTTTTTAAAATTTCCTGACATTTCCCAGTTTTCCCTGACTGTGGCAACCCTGTATCTATGCGTCCAAAAGCTACCCTGTACATTGCCCTTTCAAAAACATGATCAGTGACGTCATCCATCGTCTTTAATTCATACCATGGTTTCATCCTCCTTGATGAAACTCATTGGAACTGATAAAAACAGGGGCTTCCAAGTCACGCGAGACCAAGACAGAAGAAACCGCGCCAGTCCCATGAAGTTGGATGACGTCACCGAGGTTTCACTTGAGGCAACGGTGCATATACCTGTTTGGCAAGAGTTAATAAATTGCGAGCGGTCAAGAGGAAGCTTGGGTCAAGCGGCTCCGACTCCATCCAGACGAGAGCTTTCTTCAGGTTTTCGACGGCTTCGGCGGCCGTGGGGACGGGGAGAGGAGATTCGGTGTCTTCCGGTTCCTCCTTGATAGAGGGCGCTTCGGTCGCCGCGTCCGAGGACACCCAGAGCGCGACGTCCTTGTCCGTCACCTCCATGCCCAGGTTGTGCGCGAACCACTGGAGTTGGACGAGCAACCGCTGATCTTCGGCCGTGCGCAGCGTCGGCGAGGTGTCTGTCCAGTTCCTCAGAAACGTCTCCGTGCGGATGGTCAGCCACGCGCGGTGCAAGAGGGGGATGGCGTCCCTCAGGGAGAATCGCCGGAGGTGCTCTTGAAGCCACCCGTCGGGCTCCAAGTAGATTTCGTTGAGCATCAACATCGCGTAATGGAGTTTGAGCTCGGCCGAGACCAAGCACTTGTTCGAGGGTCTGCGCCTGGGAAATGGATAAAACTGTCATTTTCGGAGTTTGGAAGCGTAGATAAGCAACCTGATGTTACAGAGGAGGCTGTGGGTTAGCAGGGTTCCAGCGTCGCTTACAGTGGTGGTAGAATCGTTCTGGGTCTACAGTATTCACGGGGAAAAGGCCAAAAAGTTCTAAAAATTTCACTTCGAGCAGAACATCGGAAAAACAGAGGCAAATGTTGGACTCGAATTGAGGTTTTAGGAATTGTTTGGCCTTGCTTTCCCGCGGGATAATGTGGGCCCAGCGCGATTTTGCCACCTTGCTTCGTACACTCCGCGCGACACTGTTTCTTACTGCGTTTATTTCGATTGAAATTGAATAAAGGTCGAGCCTCTAAATAATGGAATGGTCGTAGCCGACGAGATTCTTACGGCTCGGCACTTACATCCATTAGTGCTCCTTGAGTTTTCATATTTTGCTACATTTATTTTGTTTTCTTCCTATCAAATTTTAACCAAAGGCTTTCAGCTAAGATTCTATTTTTCCTCAGTTTCAAATCGTACAACTTGAATAAACCCATCAAAAAAAGGGGGGATTGTAAAGGTATGGCGAGGGGCTACCTGAGTACAACGAGGCGCAGTTTGTCGTCGGGGGTGCGAGTCGGAACGGGGGCGTCGGTGCAGAGGACGAGGGCGGCGCGGGGGTGGAGGGACAGGGCCGCCGGGAGGAACTCCTTCTGGAGCCACCACCCCAAGAGGTCCGGCGTGAGCGTGCCGACGCCGCCGCCGGCGTAGACGCCCGGCTGGCTCACCATGTTCACGTGCTGGAGACACCGCGGCTTCCACTCCTTCCCGATCGTGAGGATCCTCGTCCGGTGCTGCCCCGTCAGGCTGCTCGCCATCAGGAGCCACACCGACTCCCCCGACCGGAGCAACGCGTCCGGCACGTCCCGGTAATTGAACTGCACACAAAAACCGTGGTAAATCTCGTCGTAGCTGTAGCCGTCCTCGTTGACGAGCCTCAACAGGACCTCGTTTCCATCCACCGCGGTCCTCGCCTCTTCGGGTTCCTCTCTCACGCCGAGCCTCGTCCTCCAGTTGCCGATCCACTCCTCGTCCACCCGCGTCGACTCCAGCTTGAACTTCTTGCTCAGCAACTCGGCGCGACGCACCAGCTCCGCCGTGGGGATGTCGCGCCGTCCCAGCCCCCTGTCTTCCCGCTGTTGCTGGTACTTGCCGTGCCACCGCTCCAGGAGTCGCCCCAGATCTTCACTGCCCCCGCTCACCAATCCTGATTTCTGAGCTTCTTTTCTTTTGGTAGGCCGCCTTTTCGGCGTCTTTTTCTTGCATCGCTTCTTCAGAGCCAAAGTCCGTTTGCTCTTCTTCAGCTTCTTCCGTTGTACTTCGGACTTTGACGCCATTCCGACCCGAGTTGAGCGACGGGTGGGGCACTCGATTCGAATATTCGGAAATCAGATTTCACTTCAAGCCGATTAAGATCAGCTTACTATTGCGCAAAATTCGGGAAAACGCCGGGGCAACTTTACTCAGAAATACCGCGTTGAGAACGAATCCGAGCGAAATTTAATCCTGACGGGCGATAAGTCTGATTTAACCGAGCATAGATCGAGCGATCGCTGATACGCCCACGCTAAAGGGAATAAGACAAAAAAACCAGCAACTGTCGAGAGTACGAACACATTACGATAGATAAGTCACGATTTGTGAAGGCATGGCTTGCAGCGGAGGATTTAAAAAAAAAAAAAAATTGAAGTCTCTCTCAACGGAAGGGGTGATTCCGTTTCATACATGTCCATTAGGGATATTTAGGATTCACTCGGAGCGTATGGACTAGAAGATTTGGCAGATCCGTGCAAATATCCATCATGATTTAAGCTAACAACGTTTAGAACTATCGTTGTGAAATAACTACAGATTGATCAACCCAACGGCTTTCAAATTCTTCGAACTTATGAAAATCTACAATTATGTTTGGAATTGAGAGTTTTGCTCGGCGAATCATTGGCCATCGGCGGTCATGACGTCACCAACAATCTAACACATCTCCATGTTACCGAGTTCTGCAAAAACTAAAGGAAACCAAATTGCAGTAGAGGGGTATGAGAAGTTAATTTGTCTGTATATGGGTTTTACGACGTCACGTCAAAGGTAAACAAATCGATGGGTGTAGCGGAGAAAAATCAATCGGGTTGGTAACACTGACATGCGCAGGATGCGTTTCGCACTCGAGGTTGACCGCACTGCAGAGAATATTTCCTCCGAATTAAAAATTGATGCACATTTCGCGGCACTTGATTTTTACATTTCGCGACACTTTCTTTTGCTCCAGCGCAGGACGATGAGCCATCACAGGCGCCATCGGTGTCATGTAAAGCGAGACCCAAGCGACACACGAGCGAGACACGGGTGACGTAAGATCGGGGACTGAGCGAGCTGCGAAAAGACAAACGGAGCGGGAGTTATGAAAACTGCCGGTTTTGCGCGAAAATTGAGATGTTGTCTGTTGGGAACTAGAGACACAACTGAAGCCCGACATCAGCATCAACTGAAAACTGAAATCTAAACCAATAGAGTCATGAATAAAGAGGTTTCGCGGGCGACGACTGTGTGCGAGAAGGATACTTTGATTACTTTGATGGTGGAAAGAGAGGAAAAGCTAGTCAAAGTGAAGCCGACTTCAAAGGCAGCGCAAAACCCCGAAACATACAGAAACTAACTGTGTAGCAGGGAAGGGTTCAAAGCGCCAGGCAAAGCGCTTTTCCCTTTGATCTATGCTTGCCTTTCAGAGGAGATAAAAAGAATGCGCGAATGTGTTCTGGCATTTGGTAGCTTAATGAAAAAACAAAAAGCCGGGCGCCCGGCCCGAGCGTGGGAGTAAACAAGGGGAGGCGGAAGAGAGAGAATGCAAATATACCGTGTAATTTGCGTATTTAATTTTTATGATTCCCGTAAATTATGGAATCAAAGGCGCCGGCGCCACGCGAATAATCATTTACGAGCGCAGCGACGACAGCCAGGCCCGGGCACTTTTCCTTTTGATCAATAAAGGCCACGCGCAACGGCCTTTACCAACAGTCCTTCCATCATTAGCGCGAAGCCACCGGTTTCTCTCCTTTCCCCGGACTTGGCTGGATTTATCGTGTGTCCCGTTAACAAAATAACATGTCAAAAAATATGAAACCCTTTAAGATGAATTATCTTTTAGCTTATACCCTCGTTGCGTTTTCAACGAAACTTATATCATTATTCGTAGGAAAAATAAATTGATAAACTGAAGGCTTCTTTCAAAGCCACGGTGTGATTTCACCCTGAACGTTTCGCGGTAATAAAAACCCTTGATCACACTTCGAAAGAATGTGAAGAACATTGGCATTCTCGAATAAGAATTATTAAGCGCCATAAATCAGAAAAATTAATTTGGTAGATCCCTGGTTGTAATCAGTCGTATCCCAGGCGAAATAACGGAACTGCATTTCAACCTTACAGAATTTCCATCGTAATTTAAACTTTTACTGGGAACTCTTGGACATATTTCCACTGAAAATTTCACGGGTTCCTCTACTGATTTCTGCCAAAATGAACATACTTCTGGCAGAAACTGCCTAGTCGTGTCCCTTGTAAATAATTGAATTTTCCTCGTCTATTTTGCGCCATTGAAAACGATTTACAACCCTTCCTTTCATAGACGACAAATTACGCCAAAAAATATTTTCAGTTATAGACGTTTTTGCATTCAGAGATTCAAACGACTTGTTTAGGCCTCCATGCAGGCTTTCGGGACTGTGTCGCACCCGCTTCTCTTGACTTTGAACTTCCTCTAACTTTTCCTACGATGAAAAAAAAAAAAACTCCGGCCGTGGAAGCCGTACTTACGGGCTACATAGACCTACCATCCTTGTTCCGGGTTCAGGGGCCAAAAGTTCTGGGTATACCACCCGGAGCAATTGAAGCTACGGTTCAAGCACCCGGAACTTTCGGCCTCAGAGCCCGGAACGGATGGTATGCCCATGAAGCCCAAAACTTTTTTTTCAGTATAAAGGTAGGAACTTGGCAGCGAATTCTATTAACGTGAGTTTCCTCGTCAACTTTCCCAAATTGGATAGTGACAACATCGGAGAAAGGGGAAGCAGTTTCGAAGCGTCAAAACACAAGCTCTAATCACGAAAAGGCTAAAATCAAGGAGCTTTGACGCCGGTCGGCGAGGATGAAAATAAAACTGAAATATATCAGATATGCGCGATAAACAAATTTCACAAGGGAACTACGGNGGGGGGCTTGCGGCAATTGATTGAAACAGAGCGAGAGTCAAGTCGAAGTTGAGCGATAAAAGGGATTGGATCGAGTCCCTGAAGGAAGCGCGACGGAGAGGGAGTGAAGGGAGGGGGAGGGGGAGGAAATCTCGCGGGGATAATCGCCAGCCTGTCCGCAGCACCTGACTCACCTGAGGCTTATCAAACGGGCCTCGTGCGCCACCGCCACGGCCGCCCCTTGCGTCCCTGCGACCCCCCGACTCGCCGCACACGATTTCCTCTCGACTCTCGGCGTCTCAACCCCCGGCCGACCCGTCTGCGTCTAACGAATCAAGGGCTTTCCGATACACCCCTCAGCGGGATGCAACACGACGACGCGACGTCACCGACAAATTCAATTATCTACAGGACGGCTCCACGGGGAGGTGCGCGGGGGGAGGGGAGGGCGGATCAGGAGCAGAGTCTATTCGACTTAAATTATTTGAATTTCTAGTAAAATATCTGGAGAGAAAAGTTGGGAAGGTTTAAAGTTCCTTATCGGTCTTCGAGCGTGAGTCGTTGTGTACCAAGAACCATTGGCGGATCTGGCAAATTGGCAACACTGTCTTTTCTCCATTTAAACCTATGGAAATATATCGATCCTTGGAGGGGCCAGGTGCTCCGACAAGGATTGATTATTTAGCGTAGGTTTAAATGGAGGAAATCCGGTGTTGCCAAATTGCTAGATCCGCCTCTGCCGAGAACTCTAGAACTACGCACCGATACCATTCTATACGGCTTAATTTTATACCCTAACTTAAAATGCAAGACTCCTTCCATTCTTAAAAAAAATAAATAAGGGGCACGAAACCGATTTTCACTACTTTAAGTTGCCGCAGATAATTCACAGAAGACTTGAAAATTCTCATGAGACAACGTCGATTAGTTACTCATTGTAAGAAATTCGGAGTCAGATTTGAAAGCTTGGATTGGAGACTTTCAGGGAAAATTCGGCGAAATAGAAACAAAAGAATTCGAGCTTGAGACGAGGGGGAGCTGCAGAGATGGACGAGAGCTTTCGGGGACGAGGGGGTGAGGTAAGTGGGGACAACCCTTGAGCGTGTCTGGGGACAGGGCTGGAAATGAGCGAGGACTCCCGCGTCCCCGAAAAAGGAAATGAGGAGTGAGTTAATGATTTTCGTGACCACACGAGCAAACTCGATGGCCTCCCCAAGGATTGGGGGAGGCGGCCGCCGCCCCGTCCCGCTGCACCGCCACCGCGACCCGTGAGAAAAATGGAAGAGTAATTGTAATTTAAATACTCCGTGATTCGCCCCCGCCCCCTCCCCCTCTCATCCTTTCTTTTTTCTCGGCTTGGACGCTTTAATTGAGCTCCGTATCGGTTCTCATCTCCGAGTAATTGGGTAAGAATGAACAGTACGCGCTCCAGCGCTGCCGCTCAACCGCCCCCGACCCCTGGAAATCACATGCCTCATAACAATTTCACAGGTTCCTCCACGAAATCACCTCATCACTTCACTCTCACCAAAGAACCTAACTACACTTCGATGTTCCCGAATATCCCCTCCAGGGTTGCCACAGAATTTGGAAAATTAAATTTCCTCACTTTTCCCTGATTTCCATGACACATTTTGGTGAGATTCCCTGACAATTGCACAAATCAGGGTTCCCACGGAATTTAGAAAATGAAATTCCCTGACATTTCCCTGACATCTGAGGGTATGCAGGATGGTTAAAAAGACATAATTTAGAATACTTTTCTGGAAAACATATTAGTTTTATGGTGAATAATTTATACGCGTAAACCTAGTTTTTTGTCATTGACAGCAACTAAATGAAGCAACAAAATGTATGAGAGGGAGGGAAGTTTGAGCTTATCATTTTTCACTTTCAAAACATTTAAAATAGAAAAGCTCTATATTTTACACCCAACCTAAGCTAATGACGCCAAATGAAATACACGGAAGAAAATAGAAACTTCTTGCCAGAGACCCGCATTTCGTATCGCATGGATCTCTAAAGTTGTTCGGACAACGGAAAACTTTAGGTCGAGCTGCCGAAGTTCAGGTCACACATCTGAAGTTCTTCAGCACTTCCGTGATACTTCGGTTAAAACTTCTCATTCAGCCAACCGAACTTCAGATGTTTGATCCCAACTTCGGAAGCTGGAAGCCAAGTTTTCGAAATGCACGATCTGAAAAATTCAGAGATCCGAACTTTGCAGCTCACGCATGAAGTTTTCCTGCTCCGCTTACAAGAATTCCGTGCATGAGCGGGAGTCGGAAACATTGAAAAATCTTCGTTTATGATTCAATTTTTATTAATCACGATCCACATTATTTCCAGCTTTTTCCCTAGCGCTTCCCGGATTCAAAGGATCATGTCAGGCCAAATTTTTTCTCTTCTACCGATTTGATAGGAATTCAATTAAAATTGGATTCTCTTCAGCCGTTTAAAACAACCCA